AGAGGAAGTAGTAAGGAGAGTCAAGATGGAGAGTCTGGAGAGAGCTGGATGCCAGCCGGCTCTCCGAGGGTAAGAGGAGACCATGTGGAAATACATAGATTAGCAGAAACGGGTTAATAATTAAGACAGAGCTAGCCGATGAGAAACTAGTACCTGGGCAACAGCATTATATCTAATACAGAGTCTCAGTGTGTTAATTGGGGCTGGCGTGGCGGGGGGTGGAGGGACAAGACCAGCAAGGGGGGGGGGAGAAAACCATACTCCTTACATATGGCGCTCACGTGGCTAGTAAGAACTTCCACTTAAAATTTAACAAAAGCTTAAAAAAAAGGTTTTAGAAACAAAAGAACAAAGACAAGCAAGGTTTCTTCGTAGCATCATTTTTCTTGGTTGGACTCTGCATTACGAGAGACAAGCAGATATTTGCGTGGTGACTCAGCATAAGGGACAAAAAAAAAAAAAAAAAAAAAAAAAAAAAACCCCGCAAGGCTTTTAAGAAACTCTGCTAACAATTCATTGGTGTGCATGAGAGATGGCAATGGCAGTGACCACATCTCCAAGCCGGCAGCATGCTTGCTGGATGGCAGCAAGCAGACCAAGGTGGTGACCACAGCTCTCAGTGCTGGCGGTAAAATAGCCACCGCCATCTTTAATAAACCGCGGCAGAAACAATAACTTTCATTTTAGCAATGTTGTTGTTTACCAGATAAAAGACTCGTGGCCAGAAAAAGATAAACATTTACAGTAAAGACAAATTCATATTAAGAAAAACCTCTAAAGGTTTACAGTATGTTTTAAAATATACATAGACAGGGGGAGGGAGGGAGAATAAGATGGTTTTAAAAAGACAAAGAGGAACTGGGTGTGGTGGCACACGCCTATAATCCCAGCACTTGAGAGACAGAGACAAGCAGATCTTGTGATTTCAGAGCTAAACTGGTATGCAGAGTAAATTCCAGGACAGATAAGAGTTAGACAGACAAACCCTGTCTCAAAAAATAGAAAAGGAACAGAATAATAAAAAAGCCACAAATCTGGACACTGTACGGTATTATATTGTCTTTGTATTGTTTGATTTCTGAGGAAACAACAACTGATAAAGAAAATGCTGCTGGATTAATTCAATTTATATAATTTAAAAATGCTTTGATTCCAAAATTTAAGTCTAAGGACAGGTTGCTTGGGAAAAGGATTTCTATTTTTGTTTCCACAGAAAATGAAAAGCTGTGGATTCCTTCCAGACTAAGGTGGTTTGAGCAAGCCAGAAACAGAGTTGCAGGTGATCCAACATCCAAATCAGTTGGGACATAGCAGCCTTGCAGATTTCTGTGTCTTCTTAGGATCCCCATGACAGCGCCCCCTACCAGCAGGAAGCAGTTTGGAAAGAACGATGCCCAAATTCCCAAATAATGTTTATAAATGTTTGTTTTCATTTTAATGGGGTTGGTTATAAATGGTTAATGATCACAACCAATATCTTTTTAAAGGTAAAAAGGGGATTATGATATAGATATGAGTACTTTGTTTTGGAATGGATTTTCATTTATTGATACAATTTAAGGTCAATTTTGTGATATGTATATTTCTCTTCTTGTTTAGGTATTGTGTTTATATAGCTCAGTTAGAAATGTAATGTATAATTTAGTACAGATTATAGATAGTTACCTATAATAGTTAAACCTTAAAGTTAGGTGAGTTAGTATTTCTAGATATGTAGAGATGTATTTGAGATGAATAGGCATTCTTCAAACCTTTCAAAGACCTACAGAATATGGCATTTAAAATGGTTTAGGGTTTTTCTTGACAGTGAGGCACAATTGCTCCTGGCAACACCACCTGCGTCAAAAAGGAAGATGGACATTGAAGAAACTCATTATGGAGTTTACTTTCAATATGGCAAGACTAGCCATTTGGACAAGATACTGCTCTTGTCTGAACTGTTTGACTTTATGCTATATAAACTGGACATGTAGGACCTACAGAAAAGTGATTGCTGATTCAAGATGGACAGTGCTACAGAGTTTCTGCTTCATGGAAGAGTCTGCCAGACAGTCTGCAGGACACAGAGAAAAGTGATTGACAAACTGCCAATACAAGATGACAGTTTAAAGTTTCCTGCTTTGCTGAAGAGTCTGCCAGACACACTGTGGCCTATGGGCTGAAGATGGAAGATTACAGAAGAACTTCAGGTGACTAACAAGGCAAGATGTCTCTGTCATTTCTAGAGTTTATATATTATCCTTCTGTGGTTTTTGAAGGAGTTGAAGACATATAGTAATGATTATAGTTTTCCTTAGTTAGGATTAAAGATAAGTTACATAGACTTTAAACACACAAAGACAGAATAGATGATGGAATATTTTCTTAAATCTTGCTAAATGTTTATGGACTAAATATTGTTACTGTGATTCTTATTTGATAACTGTTGTGTGATATATTTTACTATGCTAAGGTTAAATCCCTTCTTTTTATTTAGACAGAAAAGAGGAGATGATGGGAGATGGCATTATATATATATATATGTTTCTCATACTGGTTAATGAATAAAGCACTGTTGGCCAACAGGAAAGGAAGATAGTAGGGACTAGGAGATAAGGAGGAGAGAGGAAGTAGTAAGGAGTCAAGATGGAGAGTCTGGAGAGAGCTGGATGCCAGCCGGCTCTCCGAGGGTAAGAGGAGACCACGTGGAAATACATAGATTAGCAGAAACGGGTTAATAATTAAGACAGAGCTAGCCGATGAGAAACTAGTACCTGGGCAACAGCATTATATCAAATACAGAGTCTCAGTGTGTTAATTGGGGCTGGCGTGGCGGCGGGGGGAACCATACTCCTTACAGTAGGGTAGACCAGATGGCCAGGGCCTCAGGAAGCCACTTGTCTTTACCTTGCCTACGCTGGGCCTGTGTGCCGACATGCCTAGCTTTTGGAAAGTAGAATGGATTTGGTCCTTGTGCTTGTAAAGCAAACATTTTACCTACTGGGATGCCTTCCCAGCCACAGAAACTCATTTATAAGCAGTCATGATGAACATGTCTATGGGTTAAAGTTTCATTCCCATTGGGTCCTGAGACTGTTTCGTCCCAAATAAACACACAGAAGCGTATATTAGTTATAAACTGTCTAGCTGATGGCTCGGGCTTCTTATTGGCTAGCTCTCTCTTAATTATTAACCCATTCTAGTAGTCTATGTATCTCCATGTGGTCTTGACTTACCGGAGAATGTCAGGACATCCTATCTCCTGGTAGTTACATGGAGTCTCTCCTCTAGACTCACTCTCTAGTCCTCTTCCCAGAATTCTCTTAATTAGTCTGTTGGTCCCGCCTATCCATTTTGTCTGGCTATATCCTGACTGTCCATTGGCTGAAACAGCTTTCTTTATTCATCAACCAATAAGAGAAACATATATTCCCAGGACATCCCCACCCCCACCACAGGTCTGTGATGTTTAAGGCCATCCCTAGTTATAAACGGGGTTAGAAGGCTATCATGGAATTCTCCCTCCCAAGCAGTCTCTCTACGCAGCCCATCAGATCTAGAACCCCCTAGGTTTCCCGTTGATCTTGAACTTCAGATCTCCCTGAGCGCTGCTGTCTGGCATATTACTTTATTTACTTATTTTTGTTTCTGGACGACACAGGGCCTCTCATGTAGGCTAGGCTGGCCAGGCACTCTCCAGCCCATCAAAGATGACCTTAAATTGTTGATCCTGTCTCCGCCTCCAAAGTGACTGAATTAAAGGCTTGGACTATCACCTATGGCTTGAGCTCTCAATAACTGCCTACTTATTTATACGAAGACTGTAACATTTAAATAAGTGCATATGGGAATTGGCCATAGAGAAGTCCAGCTGCTTACTTTCCATTGTCAACCCTACACGATCTAGAGTCACCAGGGATGCGGGAACTGGGAACTTGAGCTAAAGAAGTGCCCTGATCACCTTGGCTCTAGGCCACTGTGAGAGATGTCTTATTTGAGGTCTGCAGGGGGAAGGTCCTGCCCACCACGGGCCTGAGTCAGTGTGGAGCAGTTGCCCCTGGTGATTGGCCAGGCGCTGAAGCGGGCTGGAGCAAACGGGAATGAAAGAAGCCAGGGCTTGTGAGCCAGAATCCAAAAGCTAGGAACCAGCTCCTGGCCCGTGTGGTTTGTCTGTCTGTGCAGCCTCATGCTCCCTGACCGTCCCGGAAGCTGTCCAAGTTCACGACTTGAGTCCAGATTAGATTTCATTATTACTAGCTTTAAGATCTTGGAGGAGCTTGACCTTCTGAGTCTGAGTTTGAATGACCGTCTGCACAAATCGCAAGTGGAGGAGGGGCACAGAGGGGCGCGCTAAGGTGTCCCCCTCGCCGCTGCCGCTGTCTCTGTGCTAGCCTCTCGGGGCTCGGAGAAAGGCAGTGTATTACCTGACCTCCCTTACCCAATCTAAGAGAGCAGCCAAGTGCTCAGAGCGCCACCATGCCAAGCAACACAGCAAAGGCCAAGAAGCCCATCCCTTCGAACCCTTGCTCTCTAGTCCCCTGTGTCCCGGCTGTCTTCGCCACGCTCAGGTCTGCAGAGGGTCTCTCTTAAACCTCGCCGTTGTTCCGTTGTTCCGGGTGAGCCTTCTTGGCCCGCAGGTCGGAGAACCTCCCACAGCGCCCTGTTTGGTCCTGATGAAGGCAACGTGCCAGGGTGAGGGCAGCCGAAGCCCGGGCAGCTTCCATCAGATCTCCAGAAGCCCTCAGCCCCGAGGGCGTCTCTGAGCGCAGGGGCGGGCCCCGCCGGCCCCGCCTCCTCCCCTCCCGCCACCATCAGGGTGGCGCTTGGGCGCTGATCTTAAACTTCGTGCAAAGTTTGCCGCGGGTCCCAAGCACGTGGAGCTTCCACGCCTGGCCTGGGCCTCGGTCTCGCGCTCGCCCAGCCTCCACCGGTCCCTCCCGTGCGCGCGCTCTCCGCGGTTGCCTCCACCCGCCTTCCCCCTGCGCTCGCACGCAGCAGGGCGACGCGCAGCAGCTCCCAGGCTCCAGGAGGCGGCGGCGACGCGCAGCGGGCGCCCCGAGGAGCCCCGGGAGGCGGGGTCAGGGCGGGCCGGCGCTCGGTTCCCGGAAGCCGCCGCCTGCGAGGCTCCCGCCGAGCGGCCCGGCGCGCCGGCACGAGCTCCAGCATCCTCCGCCGGGAGCGCCTCCCGGAGCCGCGCACAGCGCCGCAGCCGCCCGGCCGCGCGAGTTCTCCTCCCCGGGCGAGATGCTACCGGTGCACACCGAGGTGAAACCCAACCCGCTGCAGGACGCCAACCTCTGCTCGCGCCTGTTCTTCTGGTGAGTGTCCCGCCTGGGCCCGCCACGCCGCCCGGGAGATGCTCGGCGCCGGCTTGGCCACGGGTCGGATGCTCCGCGCAGGTCCCAGGCGGTCGGTCGGAGGATGCGTCCCTGCTCGGCCGCACACTCCGGGCACCCCGTCGCGCGTGCGCCGCGCCACCTGCGGTCCCCTCCGGCTCCCCACGCCCGCTCCGCTCCGCTCCACTCCGCAGGGGCGCGCGGGGCCGGGTGGCCTGCACAGGTGGCGCGGCGCACGCGCAACGCTGGGACCAGTGGGAGGTGCAGAGTCGGGATCGGTGGGAGGCGAAGAGTCGCTGTCGTGCCCTGGAAGGCGGGCCCCCTGCGTGGCTCCCACCTTCCCTGGTCCAGCTCCTGAGTCCAGACTGCACCTTTTCCCTTTCGCTTGCAAAGCGGCTGTGAACAGCTGGTCCTATCTAATCGCAGCGGGAGCTAGAGTGCTGGAAAGGCGCCAGGCTATAGTATCCACGCGCCTTCTGGAGCACCTCCCCAGACATCTTTCAGCTCCTCCGATTGCCACTGAGGGTGCCTGTGTGTGTCTTTGCAAAGAAGTTTGATAGCCTCTCTTTCTGGCCCTCAGCGTGTATGTGTCCTGGTTCCTGAGAGTGGCTGATCTCGTGTGGGTAAAATGTGAATCTGTTGTCATGCGTTCTTTACTTACGAATGGGGACGAGATCTGCAAGATGTGTTTTCCCTCTTGACTGACACTCAGTGGAGTGTGTGTTTCCTTGCTACCTGGACTCTTCCTTTCTGCCACTGATGACTGCAGTGCTCTTGGATGGGTTTCTTAACGCTGTGTGTGTGTGTGTGTGTGTGTGTGTGTGTGTGTGTGTGTGTGTGTCGGGGGTGGTGGTGGGGTGGTGGTGGGTGTCTCGCCAAGACCTCTAGTCTATTTAGAGAAGGGATCCGCTGTTACGATGCCTAAAACCTAGGATGGGATCCCTGATCTGGCCCAGCCTTGCCCCTCTAATGTAGCAAAAGGCTTAGGTAAGTGACTTCCCTAGTAGTTTTCCATCTAGTAGGCTGGGCTGGCTAGTACTCACGCTTGGCTTACTGGTATAGTTTTTATTTCTTAGCCTCTGCTATTTCATGCTTCTCACATCCTAATGTTACCCTTTTAAAGTGGGAAAGCCTAGGCAACGTCAAGGGACCACTTGCTGTTGTTTTGATTTCGTATATGGTGTGTGCAGGATCTGATCTTGGACAGTTGGTAGAGAGGAACAGGCAGGGAGAAGGAATATGGGTGGAGTTAGTATCAAAAAAACAATTCAAAGCAGGTGGACTGCCTTGGTCTTCTGAGCTTCGGCAGGACACAGCACTCTTTTGTTTTGTTTTTTCAAGACAGGGTTTCTCTGTGTGGCTCCCTCAGCTGCCCCGGAGCTCGCTATAAAGGCAAGGTTGGCCTCATCTATAGAGCCAGAGATGCGCCTGCCTCTGCCTCCCAAGTGCTGGCGTTAAAGGCCTGACCACCCTCTCCCAGCTAGGGCATGGAACCCTTGATGACCTTTCTGTGGTCGGTGGCACACGCCTGTCGGAGGCTAAGCCGGAGGAGTTGACGCCTTGTTGGGCACTGCGGCAGTGTGGTCCTGACGCCCTTGAATTCACAGCTTCCTGCCTCAGTCTCCCCAGTGCTGGGGATGTAGGTGTGAGCCACCATGGCTGTCAGTCAATACCCATTCTTGAAGAATGTAAGTAATGGCCGGGTGTGGTATCACACGCCTGTAAGCCTTTAATCAGCTCTCAGTAGGCAGAGGCAGGCAGAGTTCCAGGACAGTCAGGGCCATGGAAAGCCCTGCATCAGAGAAAGGAAGGAAAAGAGACTTGGTGTGCACTCCTTTCCATTTCCCAGCCGGGGAGACGTGGCCTGCTACCTCTGGTGTACACCCATGAAGACACTCAAACTGAGATGTCTTGATGAAACTGTGTAGGATGGCACAGCTTGGGAGTGCCCAGCAGGACCCAGACCCGGACAGTCTGGCCCCAAGGAGCTGCTGTACCATGCTGCTTTTCCCAGGGGGTTGTTCCTCCATGTATGGGGGAGGAGTTTCGGTTGCTCCTGCTCTTACAGGTTCAGTTTCTCCAGGGATGTTCTTACAATTCCCATCGTTGGAGATGATGCCCGTGGAGTGTCTGTCTTATTATACGGTGGCACCTGCTCCAAAAGCTGGGCAGTCAGAAGGGCAGCATCAGCTTATTAGAAAGATTCAGGGTCTCCAGTATCCCAACAGACTGGTTCAGAAAAATCAGAATCCACGGGGTCACGTGTTATGTTCATGTTTCTCCCCGAGGGGTCCAGGTGATGCTGATGAAGGCTGCGGATGACCCTCTGCACTAAGGCGCCTCCTGCTGGCATTACCATTCCAGTAGTCAGTAGTGTACTTTGCAGAGGGCTGTGATTTGGAGAGGCCACCTGTGGACAGTGATGACATCTTTGTGTCTCCTGACCGAGTGCCTCATTTCTCTGTGCCTGGGTTCAGTGGTTCCTTTTCGAGGCTGCCTTGCTGCAGGCAGGAAAGCCAGAAAGTGGCCTCCTATAGTTGCCTACTTTGTAGTAGAGCAAACCTGTTTTTCCCCCCCTCGCCTCCTGTGGAAGATTTGCTTCCCCCCCCCCCCACACTCTGCCTGCTTCTTAAACTCTGAGTTGGTAGCTGCCAGCCAGAAGATAATGTGAATTTGTAACCCAGCTTGGTTTTGTGCCGTGCATTATTATGGCCATTGAAAATTGTGGATTCCAAGAGACGATTGTTTTCTGCTTCAGGGACTGAAGACTGTGGAGACGCTGGGATGGATGAGGTAATTTCTATTAGCCCGGCACACCTGCTGACGCTTCCTGTGTCTTGCCCACACTGGTGTTTCGGCACACGTTTGCAGAAGCACATGTAAACCTGATACACCGCATGTGCCCATGGCTGCACAGTTTGGGTGCCGGCTTCCCCTTTCTGAGGCTGCTGGTGCTGGAGGTTGCAGTCAGACATCATGCAGGTTAAACATGCACTCACCACTGACCACAGCTGTAACCCCGGCAGTCAGTCCCGCCCAGGGCTCACCCAGATTCCCTGCCCATGCTTCTTAACGCCTAACAACAAAGGCAGCCAGAATCTCTTTATGCAGTTGATAGAAAATCGGCACCATTTTTTCCCACTCCAAAAGCAGCACGTTTCCCCATCGTCGTTTATGGAGTAGTGTGTCGGACCTGCCGTGGGAAATAAACGGTACAGCTTATGAACGTCTGTGTCCCGCTGGGTCTGAGACTGCCCAAGCTCCCGACTCTTCTGTCCAGCGCCCACGCTGCCCCCTGGTGTTGTCCCCAACATCCAGCAGGGCCTGTGGGTGTAACCTGCCTTAGCCCAGGCTCCTACCTGGGTTGTGGCAGGCACTTTCCCCCGGGTGCCAGTGTTGGGGACAGCTGCACCCCCCCCCCAGCAAGGGACAGCGGCAATCCTGGGTGTTTACGTATTAATTTTATTTTGTAAGACAGGGTGTCACTTTTTTGAGTGCTGGGATTGTAAGTGTGAGCCATACCCAGCTTACTAGTGTTTGATTTTACACCGTGGCATTTGGTACCATTGTTTGAATATTTTTTAAATACACAACACACAGACACTAACACATACACACATACATGAACACACACACACACACACATACCTCTGCCACAGCACGTGTGCAGGTCAGAAGACCTCTCTACCACATGGGTCTTGGGGATGAACCTCACGCATGTCTCCAGACCTGGTGGCAAGTGCCTGTACCTGCTGAGCCATCTCTGGCTTTGCTGGCTGTAGGCAGAGTGCCAGGCTTGTAGCGGGAACAAAGGAAAACTCCTGCCCTGCAGAGCAGGAAGGAAAGTTCCAGGCTTATTTAAAGATTAACCCTTTAAGAACCCTCCGTATTACGTAATTCCTGAGGAGTACTGCAAACAGAAATCAGGGGGCCTTGTGTGGATGGCAGACGTCAAAAGTCACATTCTCCTGCCTCAACACTGACCTGCAACGTGAGGTCCTCAGGGACGCTGGCCCGAGTGGGTCTGGGTGGGCCTTGGAATCTGTGTATCCTCAGACCACACATTGAGAGGATGGGTCAGAGGGGTCCATTGAGCTAATTTAACACCAGTGATCACTAACGCATGTATAATGTGTTCCCTTTACACGTTACCCTCGAGAAATTAAATTCCCAATCTCTGAGGTGGACAGTCTCACAGTTCTCTAGGGGAGACGTTGAGGTCCGGAGGGGTGGAGCAAATTCTCAGGGTCCTCGTAGCTTAGAGGTGGCCGTGTCAACGCTGAGATGCTCTCTGGATCATCAGAACAAGTGTGCTCATCAAGGGCAGACGTGCTCAACATCTGTGTGCCCTCGGGGCTGTGACAGGCGGTAAACATGTAAGCGGGCTGACTGAAGGAGCCTGGGTGCTGACCTCATCAAGCAGGACTTTTTGGTCGTCAGTGAGTGAGCGTGCTTTTTCACACGTGTATGCACCTACGGTATGTTTTCTGTGATGGATAGTTTTATGTCAACTTGACACGCACCGAAGTCATCTGAGAGGAGAGGAGCCTCGATTAAGAGAATGCCTCCACATGATCAAGCTGTAGACAAGCCCGTGGGACATTTTCTTAATTAGTGACTGGTGGGGGAGGGTCCAGCCCACTGTGGGTGGGGCCGTCCCTGGGCTGGTGGTCCTGGGTTCTATAAGAGAGCAGGCTGAGCAAGCCATGGGGAGCAAGCCAGTCAGCAGCTCCCTCCATGGCCTCCGCATCAGCTCCTGCCTCCAGGCCCCTGTCCTGCTTGAGTTCTGTCCTGACTTCCGTTGACAGTGTACTTTGATGATCTGTGATGTGGAAGTGTAAGCCAGCGGCCCCCTCCCCAAGTTGTTTTGGTCATGGTGTTTTATTTCAGCAGTGGTGACCCTGACTAGGACCCCTATCCATTTGTTAGGTTGAATTGTCATTTGGTTGTTAGGGTCATCATCTACCAAGTAGTTAAGACAA